GGTCCACGCAGGATCTAGTGCACCACCAGGACTCCATCCAGGCCTGTCCCTTTCAATGGGTTCACTCTCAAGCCAATCTAACGTCTGCGGCGGTGACTATAGGTACAGGTGCATCAGAGGCTGTCAGGACAGGTGACATCATTCCACTGACCTTCAGTTCAAAAACAAGCATCAAATACACTGACCTCATTGGGGAGGGATTCATTGTTGCTAGTGATTCTACTTGACTTCGCTTTGTAGCCCGTTATGTCGCGCACGCCTCGCCCCAGTCAACATGTGTTTCTGTGGTTAGTCTGGGACGCTAGTTTAGTCTGGTATTGTCGCTTGGCACCCCTTATGCCTTTGTGCAGATTGTACCTAGATCTCCTGTATAGGTCAGGGTACCACAACTTGAAAGCCTCAGACATGGACTTCAGTAGGGAGTTGATCTTCTAGTTCATGCAGTTTCCAGTTGGGGAACACTCGGATTAATTTTTTTGGCACGCAGTCTTCTACACACTTCCCGATGAAGTCTCTGAAAGCAGTGGCATGCTTAAGTAGGTTGGCCGCTGAGTTCTTGAATATTGTCCAGTGAATATCGAATGCTCTTGAATATCCACCAAGAAGCTCGTCCATTACATCAGTTCAGCAATATACAATTTTCTGCACCAGATCCTCATGCTTCAGTTTCTGTTTGTAAGCCGAGAGACAGAGCACAGCCTTATAGTCTGATTGACCAAAATGCAGACAGGGAATGCAGCAGTACGCTGCTCTGATGGTTGTGTAACAATTGTCCAAGGTGTTTGGGCCTCTGGTGGGACAGCAGACATGTTCGCAACACAGCCTGGAGTTTGTCCTGGTCGAAGTCTCCAGCTAAAAAAAACAAGACCTCGGGGCATTCCATCTCAAGGCTATTTGTAGCAGTGAATATTTCATCAAGTGAACACTTCAATTCCGCATGGGGTGGGATGTAAACTGCGATCACGATAGCAGAAGTAAACCCCTGTGGCAGACAGTAGGGATGGTACTTGGAGGAGAACTTGCATTTGATGTGTCCATCAAGGTGGTAGAAATAACACCGTGTGGAGCTGGAGGAACACAGCAGACCAGGCAGCATCGGAGGAGCAGGAAAGTTGACGTTTCGGGTCGGGACCCTTCTTCAGAAGGGTCTGACGAAGGGTCCTGACCTGAAACACTAACTTTCCTGCTCCTCTGAGGCTGCCTGGCCTGCTGTGTTCCTCCAGCTCCACACTGTGTTATCTCTGGCTCCAGCATTGGCAGTTCTTTCTATCTCTCAAAGTCGTAGAAATTGTAGGTTTAGAAATTGTTGTCAAAGGAACCAAAGTGAGTTGCGGCATTTTCTATATGATAGACACTGCGACAGCAATGAGTGGAGGAAATGTTGAAAATGGTGGATGGGGTGTCATATAAGCAAACTGCTCTGTCCTAGATTGGGATGAGATTCTGGAGTAATGATGATGCTGCAATCTTCCAGACTATTAGAGAATATCCCATCATACTCCTGACTTGTAACTTGTAAATGGTGAACATGCTTTAGAGAGTCTAGACATGAGCAACTTAACTGCAGAATTCTCAGCCTCTAACCTGCTCTTGCAGCTACAGTATTTATATGGTTGGTCCAGTTCAGTTTCAAATCAATGGTGAGCCCCAGGATATTGGTAGTGAGGGATTCAGTGATGGGAATGCTGTTCAATGGGAGGAGGAGATGGTTAGATTCTCTCTTGTTGGAGATGGCCATTGCCTGGCACTGTGTGGCACAAATGACGCATGTCACTTATCAGCCCAAACCTGGCTGCATTCTGAAGAAGGGTCACTGGGCCTGAAACTTTAACTCTGCTTTGTCTCCACAGATGCTGCCAGATCTGCTGCGTTCTTCCAGCAATTTCTGTCCAGGTTTTGTTGCAAATGGACACTTGTTGCTTAACGCATCTGAGGAGACACAAGTTGTATTGAACATTGTGTGCTGATATTTGGACAATGTCACTGCTGACGTTTTGATGGAAGGAAGGTCATTGACAAAGCAGCTCAAGATGGGTGGGTTCAGCAAACTACCTTGAGCAACTGATGCAGTGCTAACCTGAGATGGAGATAATCGACCTCCAACAATCACACCATCTTTCTTTGTATTAGCTGTGGCTCCAACCAGTAAAGAGCTTTCCCCATGATTCCTACTGACTGCAGTTTTGCTCAGGCTCCTCGATGCCACATTGCTAAATGCTGCACTGATGTCAAAGGCAGTCACTGTCAACTCACCTTTTGTCATTAGCTTTTTTACCTATGTTTAGTTGTAATGAGGTCAGGATGTGAGTGGCCCTGGCAGAACCCAAACTGAGGGATCAGGAACAGATTATTATTATGTCAAGCCCCTTAATATCACTGTCAACACCTTCCACCACTTTGATGATGATCAAGAGCAGACTGATGTGGTAATTGGTCAGTTTGAATTTGTCTAGCTTTTGTCATCTGGACATAACAGCACAATTTCTACATTATCCTGTGCAGTGTTGAAGATTTACTGGAACAGCACAGCTGGTTCTGAAGCAGAAGTCTTCAGTACTACGACAGAATATTTTATGGAATGGACTCTGGCAATACCTGCTGACTTGTTCCAGGTAAAACTATTCACAAAAGAGACACAAGAATATGCTCGATCTGCCTAATGCCTGTCTAGACATAGAAAAGTCTCTAAGTCAAAGTCTACTGGTATAAATGGTACAAAAAACCTCCCCAAAATATGCAGTGTGGCATAACCGAATAGTCAAAGTCACTTGTTCCAGAGTTTTTCATCTTTCTTTTATGTCATTGTTCACTACACCCTAGTTGTGCCAATGGAACAGAAAATCTGGACCATGTGGAATTGGTGGTCCTGCATGTCAGAGGAAAGAATCAATCTTACTTCGCATGTTGTCTGCCCCTCCAAAGTAAAAACAGCACATGACACCCTGGTGTAAAACACATCATTTTTATTCATTCAGAGGATGTAGGGTTCGTTAGCAGCAGCTTGCATTTATTGCCCATCACTAATTACCTCAAAGAGGGTGGTGGTGAGCTGCCTCCTCGAACTGCTGCAAGTCCCTTGCTGTAAGTGCTCCCAAAATGCTGCTCCGGAGAAAATTCCAGGATTTTGACCCAGTTATAGTGAGGGAACAGCGATATATTTCCAAGTCAGGAACTTGTACGCAACAGTGTTCCCACGTATCTGCTGCAGGTGTTAACACTTAGCCTTTTACATCCTCCTTCCGCACTGTCTAAGGCTGGAAGCATACCTTCCAGGTGAAGCAGCATTTTACTTGTACTCCTTTCAAACTGAGCGACTGTATTCACTGGTCACATTGCAGTCTCCTGTACAATGGCAGGATCAAACATAGACTAGGTGACCAGTGAACACCTCCACTCTGTCCATTAGAATGACTCCGACCTTCCAGTCACTCACCAGTTCAATATGCCATTTTGCCCTCATACAAATATTCCCATCTAATCTCTACTACAGTGCTGCAACAAAGACTTACACACTCTGGAGGAAAAGCACCTCAGTTTCCACTTCATTTTACAGCTTTCAGGACTCAACATTAACTTACACTATTTCAGAAACTGAACACTGTCCTCCATTTTCATTATACCATCTTTCATAGTGGGATGTGAACCCATATCCCCGGACATAGAACTGGGATTGTGGATCACCAGCCAGAAATCCGATATTAGATGTTACTAATATATGTCAGCCTCCCCAAAATGAGAAGCAATTAGCAAAGCTAATAACAGTTAACATTTATTACAATGGGAACTGAATACAAAGCAGAAGTGTTGTGTTTCATGTTATGTTATTCTGTGTACTGGAGAGACCACATCTGGTGTACTGTGGAGAATACTGGTCACCTTCCTTAAAAAGTTTCAACATGCACTGTAAGAAGTTCAGAAAAAGGTTTACTAGATTAATATACAGGCAGGTTAATTTACAAGGAAAGATCAAAGAGGGTAGGCTTATATCCTGAAGTTTACAAAGGAGACTTGATTGAAACATATTTGATCCTGAGGGATCTTCACTGGGTAGATGTAGACAGAGGATGTTTCCTTTTATGGAAGGGTCGAGAACTACGGGTCACAGTTGAAAAATAACAAGTCACCCACTTGAGACAGAGATAAGGCAGACTTTTTTTTTCCTCATAGAAGGTTGTGAGACTTACTGAAAAAAACATGATGGAAACAGCCTTTGAATATTTTTAAGGCAGAAGTGGATAGATTTTTAGTAAACAGATGGTGAAAGGTAATCAGTGATAGGGGAAATATGGTTTTGAGCCTATACTCAGATCAGCAATGATCTTGTTAAATGATGGACCAAAGTTAAAAGGCTGAATTGCCTCATATTCCATATTTGTATTTTCATGTGACCTAAAAAAAAGATTTTGTATCAGCAATGGCGTTTTTAAATGGTAAACTCCAATCCAACTATGCCAAGTTAAAAGCAGACATCTTTACAAAATATCTGTCTATGGTACACATAGATTTGAGTGTCACTCTAGTTTCTAGCATTTAACATTTAGTAATTGTGTCTCCTATAGTAGCCAGAGTATGTAAATTTTCATGTTTACTTGAAACACCCTTTAAATAATTCTGCTCTACCTGGTATATCAATCTTCTATGTTATTTTTAAATGTGACCAATGTGTGCTAAAATTGTTGAGATATAGAGTCCAACTTATTCATGTTTTCCAGCAACATAACTGGAATGATGGATGTATCCTCCTTACAGGCTGATAAAACAAGGAAAGAATGGAAAGCTATAATCTCTTCAGCTCTGCCTATTTATAAAAGGTTGCTCCAAGAAAGGTATCATTTGAACAGGAAGGACAAATTGTCAGCACAGAATCTCAATAATAGCAACACAAAAAGCCTACCAATTCCAAACTGTAACACTTATAAATCTTTAATCACAATGCATTTTAATCGATCAGCCCATAATAATTTTTTTTTTAAAATAAAAAGTTGAAGTCAGCAGCCTACCTAAACCCGGTGGGACATCAGGGCACATCGGTAAAGGCTTCTTCGTGACTGTAAGGTTATGTTCCAACTTCCTGCTCGATATAAAGTGATCTTCACTCCCCAGGAAAGTCAGTGAGGTCCCATTGGACTTTGAGATGTTAAAGTACTGATGCACCTTGGAGTAATTTCTAGTATTAAAGCGGCTGAAGATGTCAAACCTTTGGGTGTAGACGTCCAAGTAGAAGATGGTCATTATAAGAAAGTGCACTAGACACAACAAGAGTACTGCTTTGCATATTCTTTCCAAAGTCTTCCCTAACATCAGTCTGGACATTTTCTGTACACAGCAAGTCAATGGAGAAACACATTAGCTTATCTTCCAGAGATTCTGTCCATTCCAAGTACTACCTGTGAAAAGATTGTATTTATTAAACTTTTCCAATATTTAAAAAGGAGCAAGGTCAGAGGTGATTGAGGGGATGGGGTAGTATCAACTTCAGAACAACTTTAAAATTTAGACGTTGAATGCTAATCAAATTGTGTCTTTTTGGTGAGTGAGAGGGAGGGGGAGGGAGGGGGAGGGAGAGGGCAAGAGAGAGACAGAAACATATTTTTCTTTAGCAATCAACCGCCAAGATCACTAGAGCCCATAGCCTGCAATCTACAATGTCCTTCTACTTAGCTGCCCATGTCCCTTTCATGCTGTGGTTTTATGCCAACACCATGAGTTTGGGTTCAAGGCAGACTGGTTTGGGAGCTAGCCAAGTCGAGAACTGTCTTCAGGCTTTGGCTTCTTAGAACACTGTAAATTACATATTAAAAGTAAACGTTATGACACAGACATACAAGGCTCTAATCTCACCACTATATTAATAATAGACTATTTTACACATCTGTTCCTCTCTCTTGACTCTGACCACACTGTGCTATTTATGTCCAGTGAGAATCAACACCTTTCCACTATCATAAGGTTGCTTCAGGGTGTTAAAGCCTTTACTCAACAATATCTCCTCACAATTAAAGAACATATCATTTTATTTCCTGGATAAGGACGGTTTTAAAACCATGGATTGTGGAAGGAATTGTTGAGCTTTTCAAAACAAGTTACTGAAACTTGTGTGTAGTCTTTATAGTGTTGCTTTATTTAAGAATGGAAAAAGATGTGTATAAGGGAGGCAATGGCCTAGTGGTATTATCACTAGACTACTGATCCAGAGACTTGATAATACTCTGGGACCGAGTTTCAAATCTTGCTATGGTAAATGGTGGAAATGAATTTAAATAAAAATCTGAAATTAAGAATGAAGATGACCATGAACCACTGTCAATAGTCAGAAAAGCCCATCTGGTTCACTAATGTCCATCAGGGAAGCAAATCTGACATCCTTGCCTGGTCTAGTCTGCACGTGACCCCAGACCCACCGCAATCTGGTTGATTCTTAATTGCCCAGAGGACAGTTATTCTCTGTCGCCTGGGAAAACATCCCTAATTGGTCCTAATTCCCCCAAATAGGGATGACCAATAAATGCTGGCCTAGCCAGAGATGCCCACATCTTGTGAATGAATTAAAAAAAAAGGCCCAGCACCTGGGCATGTACGGACAGAGGGGTTTGGACCGTCGTAAGTAGCTGATTAGTTTGTGCAATTGGGACTAAATATGGACGCTAAAAAGCATTGGTCTGAGGACAGCTCTCTGATTGGTTCCTGGAAAGCTGAACAGCTTGTGGCTGTGAGAAATGCACAACGAGAAGCCTTTGGTTCTCTTCAAGGTCAGGTTGTCTGTCACCCTCTGTGGTAAAAATGCCTGAAGCCTGAAGAAAGCTTATTATTTTATCCCAACAGTTGCTGTAAGATGGTGCCCTTAACCAGTAACCAAGAGCCATTTTATGTACCAATCACCCTATGCCTCCTGTGAATAAGAAATGGAACCTGGAGAAAACAGAATGAAGAACACAAAGTCCTAGCATCATCTCAGCAAACCCTGTACATTTGTACTATCAAACTATGGTTCCCAGGTTTTTCCCCTTTACCAATTAAATCAGTTATTTTGTTTGTCTGTGTGTGTGTGTAGGAGTTTTAAAAATGGTTTAATTAGTAGACCCATATGTTGATAGCTCATGGCTGTTTACTGGTGATTAGAAGTACTAATTTGTAATAAACAATAATTCTTGTTAAGAACTGGAACCTCGTCAGTGTTTTCTGTTAACTTGATTCCATCAAGTCAGTAAATCAGGGACTTTGTGCTTTTGACTAGATCCTCAACTTTTGTGGTGATCCTGAAGAAAGGGGGGCTTGAGCATTAGTGCACTTTACCACAAGGGTCATAACTCACACTATTGCCTTGAGAAAGGGACCATTGTCGGTTCTTCTCCTTTATACATTCTACGACTGGAAAAAGATTATTCCTAATGATAGAAGCTAGTACAAACTGGCTTCATCTTTAGTGCTATACATTGTGCATTAAATTCCAGCATACTTCATGCCTACAATACAACAACTTCTTTAATCTTCCTAAAATCGAATGCAGATTACTGAATTCTGTTGGTGAAACATTGCAACGTGAAGAAAATGACAATCATCCATTTCATGTAGTCAAAGTTTCACTTTATGAAAACCATTTAGTAGTTCGTTCCCAGTTTAAAGGAGAAAATAAAGAGCGGCATAGAGAGGATAAACTTGCACATACATGCATGCCCTAAAGCCCTCAATCCTCCTTGCACAGAGTAATATCATAATTTCTAATCAGTATGTCGCTGATTAGCTAATTTCCCTGTCAATCACACATACAGAAAGCATGCCTGGAAGTGACCGAGACTGATTTCACACAGGTAATTTGCTGGTTCCACTCACTGCAACCTTGCAGGTGAAAGCATCCTGTTTTTAAATTGGAAGATGCTGTCATGTTTTTAAACTACTCTTCATTTTCTTCAAACTCCTGCCACAAATCAGTAAACTCATCAGTTGCCAATGCAATCAACAGATAATCAATATATTACAAAGTCCTTCATAGCTAATTGCTTTTGAAGTGGATCTCGTATGGCAAACATTGTGGAGTAAAGGGTTAACCAAATTCACTACAGATCCTCAGACAGCACCTTCCAAACCCATGACCACTTTCATCTAGAAGGGCAAGGGGAGCAGATTCATGGGACACCACCACGTCCAAGCTCCCCTTCAAGTCATTCGCCATCCTGACTTGGAAATAAATCACCATCTGTTCACTGTTGCTGCGTCACAATCCTGGAATTCCCTTCCTAATGGCATTGTGGGCAGCACATGGACTGCAACAGTTCACAGAAGGCAGCTAACCACCATCTTCTCAAGGGTGACTAGGGCAGATAATAAATGCTGGCTAGCCAGCAATGCCAACATCTCACAAATGAATGAAAATACTATATCTTAATTCTAAATGTGCAGAAGGAGCTTGTCATCATGACATCAGGTCATATGGAAATGTTATGGAAACTGTTGGGTGTCAGAGACGTTCTTCCTTACCAACCCTTCTATACAGTAATGTTCAATAAAGCCTGTTATGTTCATGCACCTGAGCACAGACCTGATCTTACTGTACAGTGACAAGAGGTGTCAGACTCTAAGGACCAGAGGCTGGCTATAAACAGCACGTGAATTAAAGTCAGTGGTATGCCCTAAGAGCAGTTTAATAAAAAAGTCTTTTGCTCCAAGTTTCAGAAATTGAAAATCAATGTGAATTAGTAACTGAGGAAGACATGCTGTTATAATTTGAGTAATGGCCTTACATTTGAAGAACCCTTGAGAGAAGAGAAATCTTGGTTTAAATTTGCAGAACACTATCATATGAAAGCAAGCTCTCATTAATCATAGAGATCAACTACATAATGATTACAGTCTTTTGCAGGTTGCAGTAGGAATCAGAAATAAATGATGGAGAACAGGAAGACTTTAACCCTTATCACCAAGCTACTCCAATCACTTGGCCAAGTTGAAGACTGCTAGGCAGGTAATGTATTCCGAAACAAAAACAGAAATTGCTGGAAAAGCTCAGCAGATCTGGCAGCATCTGTGAAGAGAAATCAGAGTCACTCGACCCGAAGCGTTAACTCTGATTTCTCTCCAGAGATGCTGCCAGACCTGCTGAGCTTTCCCAGCAATTTCTGATTTACATCAGGAGTTCTTTCGGTTTTTATTAATGAATTCTAAATGTCCTACTATCGTTCCATTTTCCCTCAAGTCTGCAGACCAAAGTACAATCAGAAACTTCCTACAGATTCTAGTCTAGAAGCATATTCCATTGGCTATGATAGTGAAATCCTACTTTCAGTTGGAAATGTAGAGATGTCCGGGTCTGCCATACAGCAGCCTCGAACTGAAACCTGTCTGAGGGCGACGTCATTAACTACAGGAAGATAAATTCCTACATCAGAAGTGTGAGGAAAGTCCTTATTTGCACATCTCCAGAACTGATTTCAGAACGTTCCTCCTTTTTCATCTACCAGATTCATAAGACCATGCAAATAGGAGCAGGCCATTCAGCCCATCCACCCTGCCCCACCATTCAATATGATCAAGACTGATCGAACACTTCAATGCCTTTTAGTCTCACGTAACCAAGGGTAATCTATTAATCCATACCTTAAACTTCCTGAAAGACTGAGCTGCGCAACATTCTGGAATTCTATACTGCAAAAGGTTCACAATCCACTAAGTGAAACAATTTTTCCTTATTTGAACCCAAATGGCATCTCCTCTACTTTTAAATTGTGCCCTTAGTTTTAGACTCCCCAACCAGGGGAAATATCTCACCTGCATCTAACCTGTATGTTGAAGTATGTTGTAAGTTTCAATTAGATCACCTCTCATTCTTTGAGACTCTAGAGAATACAGGCCTAGTTTGCCCAATATTCTTCATTGTACACTCCCACCATCCTAGGGACAAGTTTGGTGAGCCTTTGTAACACTCGTGCTATGACAATAATAACTTCGCTGAGATAGGGAGGTGTAGTCTAACCAAGCTCTTATACTTCAGACTTCAAGTAGAAGAAGACTCATGATTTCCAAACTCAAATCATCTTGTATTAAACACTAACATTTCATCAGCCTTCCTTCCCAATTGCTTGCTGCACCTGTATGTTGGCCTTAAGTGACTTATTGACAAGGACACCTAGGTCCCTTTGTACATCTACACTTTCCAACCTCTCATCATTTAAAGAAATACTCTACACATCTGTTTGCTGTATAAAAATGGATAACTTTACATTTGCCACATTATATTCCACCTGCCACGTACCTGCCCATTCTCAGAGTCTGTCCAAAACTTCGTGAAGCCACTTTATATTTTCCTCACAAAACACAATCTTACTTAGCTTTGCATCATCTGGAAATATTACATTTGGTCCCCATCTCAAAAACATTGATGTATATTGTGAAC